ACGCCGTGCACATTTTTTTTACGTCTCATGTTGTCATGACGGCCTCATCTATGTTTTTTTTTAACTCCCACAGAAACAGTTCTGTCAAACAACATGCAGCGCCATCTGTTGGTCGTTAAAAGATGTTACATTAACAATTTGCTGAGAAAGGTGCGGGTATATTGCACTAGTTAAAAAAGAATAATACATTTCGTAAAGTAAAGATTTTAGTGCTCGTCAAATGAAAAATGTATAGTTTTCATTATAAATTTCCATGATGTTTTTAATATTTTTTAATATGAATGTTATTTCAAACCTTGAAAGACTTCGTACTTGACCATTAAATTAAAATTAATTTAGGAAAGAGTCTACGAGCATTATATAAAAATACTTAGTTTATCTCGTCATTTACTAGTCTTCGAAGAGCAAACAAAGCATAGTACTAATTAAACGATGAAATTTACCGATTAAATCACATGTTCTTGTTAACTTTACTGGCTCCCGAAGTGGCTGTATCGGCATATTTGATAGAACATAGAATGTTTTGCGTAATGCGATGTGAAAGATGTATCGAAGATAATATGTCAGTATGGTAAAGATTTTAAGCAAATTAATTACTTTCTTCTACGTTTTAGATATCTTTTGAAGACAGTTTATATTAAATTAATCAAATGAAAGATATAGTTGTTTAGAAGATGAAATCTAACAATTCGTGTGTTTTGTTTAGCTACATTTCTCGTGGAATCAATATCACAAACATGGATCGATGACACATCTATAAATATTTAATGTCAAATACGCTCTTATTTTCAATGCTTCCTCTGTCTTAATTTTTAGATCCACTTGAAATACGTAAATGTTAGTAACTGTAAAAATGGCAACAATATTAAAAATTATTATATCTTGATTAAAATGTTAGTAACTGTAAAAATGGCAACAATATTAAAAATTATTATATCTTGAAATGTAGTACTGTAAAAATGGCAACAATATTAAAAATTATTATCTCTTGATTAAAATGTTAGTAACTGTAAAAATGGCAACAATATTAAAAATTATTATATCTTGATTAAAATGTTAGTAACTGTAAAAATGGCAACAATATTAAAAATTATTATATCTTGATTAAAATGTTAGTAACTGTAAAAATGGCAACAATATTAAAAATTATTATATCTTGATTAAAATGTTAGTAACTGTAAAAATGGCAACAATATTAAAAATTATTATATCTTGATTAAATGTTAGTAACTGCAAAAATGCAACAATATTAAAAAAATTATTATATCTTGATTAAAATGTTAGTAACTGTAAAATGGCAACAATATTAAAAATTATCATATCTTGATTAAAATGTTAGTAACTGTAAAAATGGCAACAATATTAAAAATTATTATATCTTGATTAAAATGTTAGTAACTGTAAAAATGGCAACAATATTAAAAATTATAAACACATAAATGTTAAAATTAATTCAAAAGAAGGTCGAGAAGGTAACAGATTGTATATAAATGCCCATAATATTAATGCGTTGCAAAAACCTTCTAAATAGTGTGTAGAGCATCGCACCTTATGGTAACATACACAAAGTCAAAGACTCTGATGTAGATGTAAGGACTTATCGCTATGTCTACATAAGCAAACAGAAAGTATTGAGGTGTAAAAGAACCTTCCATTAAGAATTCAATTAAGTTGAACAGAAGGCACTTGCTGTGCTTACAAATTAGCCAGCATTTACGGCGCGAACTTAAAAAAGCAGAATTTTTAATTAACACTAAATCTAAGTTCGATTTGGCCCAAAGGCTTGGCAGAGGCATATAAACGAGAAAGTTGGCTCTTAAATCTACACCTCTCTGCAAGAATAAAGCAACACCGTAGATAGGAACGATTATTGTAGAACAACAAGTAACGTGGCATTCAGCAGGCGGAGTACGCTTTGACTTCAACAATCTCAAATCTCACTTAACTACGCGCGGGTTAAAATTTGCATTCTCGCAGGAAAACGGAAAGGAAGAAGTGACAGTTTCGTAACGTAAAATGCCTCACGAGTGCATTTTGAAAATATTTTCAAAGATTTTTTTCTTTCTTTTTAGCAAAATGTATTGTTTATTCATTACTTTGTTCTAATTTACCCCTTCGCAGGGGGAAGTAAGAGAGAGAGATTAATAATATATAATAATTCAGAGCCAGTTGTTTCAATTTAGTACGATCTAAACAAATTGAAACTGTAAGAGCGTGTTTTATAAACTATCTCATAATGGTTTTATAAGCTATCTTGTATCGTAACTCAGTTTAAAAATGATCGTTAAATAAAACTGATGACACTTTCAAGAAGGAATTATGAAGCTATTGCAAATATTGCTAAAACATAATTTACGATATTTACTAAGTATTACCATTGCGTACTGCGAACTAAAAATAAGAAAATAATTTATTATCACTCATAACGTTGTTTTAAAATAATACGTTTAAAGAATTGCAAGGTTTAAATTAATATTAATTATCTTACCAGTTTCTTTTATCTAGAAAACTATAATTTGTATAGTATCGGAGGAAAGACATTTAAAACAGTATAATTTTGTTTTCGCGGGTTTGTTTTTGGTTTTTCTGCAGGAGGAAATGTATTAATAGAAAAAAGAAGTAAAAGTAATGGACAAATGTTCGCGCGACAGAGCGCGCGACGTTTAAATAGAGAAAGCGTTCAATTTTTTCTCTTATCTCAACTTTAAAATAAAATCTTCTATATTATGCATGCTTGCATATTATTAACACAGTTTGCTTTGTCTTTTTTCTGCAATTTCAAATTTATTACTATGCACTTATTTCACAAATGTTTTTATTACTTTATTGTTATTATTATTTTAGTTTTCAGAATTACAGGTAAGATTTAAAAACAGTAAAAAATCTGATGTGTACACCACATGACTTCCTTGTACGGAATATTAAATTATACGCATTTTTCTTGCATTTTATTTAAACTTATAATTAATTAGATTGAATTAAACCTACTTCGCCGACAGCGCATAAACCACAATAGAATAAATGCATTCTTTAAAATTCACTTTGTTTACCATAGCGACACTCTGGCGCTAGGTTTACTTAAGAGTATTATATTTACTTCATATTATAACTCTGAATGCACAAAATGTATATCATTTAAAGAATTACCTAATCGTTGCCACATGTTCTATTCAAATACTATAATAAAGCTAGAACGATGTATAAAAGAAATTAAGCAAACAAAACAAAAAAGAAACAGTTTTTCACAGACGATTGAGTATTTCTCATTCAATTAATTCAGTTCTCACTTCGCGTGAAGGCAAAAATGCATAAAAACTCAAAATATCTATATTAAAAATTACGAAGTAAATCTCACACGCGTATTAAGAAAGAATTAAGCATGATTTAATTGGCAATAATAAATGAATGCGTTATCTTTGTTGTTGCGAAGCTAAGTTTCTCTAGATTGGCAACAAATCCACTAGTCTCCTGTTTCAAATGTAAATATCAATGGCCTCCATTAAAAACAGGCTTTGCGGCAATTAAACAACTTTAAAATTGCTGATAATTCTAAACATATTACACACAGATTTACTAAAGGTATAAAATCCTTAACCGGAAGATAAAAACAACATAATTCAATCATTTTTAAAGCAAAACATGTGCAATTTACAAACATATAAGAGTAAAGAAACTGAGATCACTTAGCCGGTAACAAGTAGATATATATATAAATATTTATTACGTTGGTGCGGCCGATTGCAACCAAAATAGAGGTGCACATCTACATGTTATAGCGGTCCATATACGAAATTCAACGTTCGAGGATACTCGTTTTTGAGTTATGCGAGATACGTACTTACGTTCGTACCGCCACGAAATTCTCTCAGAATTACTTTAAGCAGTTTTATAATTTTTTTTTGGAAAAAGAGTCTTTTATTCTGTCCTACGTACAGATATCACGGAAAAACATCGTTAAATTGCATTCGATAGCGGTCAAAATGGATATTTTCGTTGAAATATGCTGCCTGAAACTTTTCGCCATTATAATACTTCCTTTTTACTTCGTACAAGAAAGTAAAAAGGGAAATATGTCTAACAGTTTTGGAATTAATTTTTTCTTCTTCAGAAGCTTCAGGTAATTTGTTCTGTGAAATGCGCATGCGTATTTACGTAACTATTTAAATAAACAAGTATATGAAAAGCTTCCAGAGCCCCAAGATTAAAACACAATTGTAGAAAGCTTTCAGAAAGCTGGGTTTAAGTACCCTTGTTCCTATAAATGCTTTTGTTACAACAATTTTATAGACAAAATCGGCTATATAAATTTTATGCATGATAAAGGAGTTGTTTATGTAAGGACATGGAGAACAATAAAACGCTAACAATTTTTTTTTCTGCAAACACAGTATTACGCATGAATGTGCATTCTTAAAGATTAGTTGCAACTAAATTTTTTTTTTTTTTTTTACTGTAATAAAATTTTAGTTTCGCATGAAAATTCAATCGAAATGTAAGACGAGTGTGTTGAGGCATTTTCCTATAGAAAAGCATAAACTAAATGCTAAAAAAATAAAAAATCACTTGAATGAATAATTTTTTTAATTCGCTCACATTGCAAAGGGTCCAAAATTTACTGACGGCAAAATCGAAGTAATTTTTAAACAAAAAAGTTTAAAACGAAATTATTATCCGTTCTATACGATTCTAGCCTGAGTACCTCAATGAATGTAAACTGATATAATTTAATTTACTTAATTTAAAGAAAGGTATACGAATTTCATTGAAATCATTCAAACAAAAACATTAATAATTTCTCTTTGGCAAATTAATAAAAGCCATGTATATAAAGTATGTAATTAATAAAAGCCATATCCAGTACTTGCAAAAATAGAAAATGACAAAAATGAATGAAAAAAAAGTTTCATTTTTGAGATATTTAAAAATGTTTGTACTTATGTGAAAAAAAATTCTTTTTTAGAATCTTTCTTTTCCCAATGTTCCATTTCCTTCTCTTTCAGTCGAAGAAAATGAAGACGACCCTCAAGGATATCCCACCCCTTCTCCGGAGCCCACGTTCCCCACACCAGAACCCTCTCCTGAACCAGAAGAATACTGGAGACCTGATTCCTTTCAAAAACAGTAAGATCTCTCAAATTCTGTAAATATATAATACTTCAGACACAGTTCTCAGCAATATTTTGCGACACATAGCAGAATCCATGAAAAAATAATAGAAAAGCGCAGGTGCAGTTTGGAAAGAGACTGGAAAGACAGTAGAAAATTCAATTTTATCAAGTACTAACATCTATACTTTTCACAAATCCGATAGAGTTTTACGAGTTTTATAAAACTGAAAGCGAAGAAGTTGCAATCAAAGATTTATGCAAGAGAACAGAATAGTCCACAAACTGAGACTGAATCCCAGAAATTCAGTACTGAGAAAAATAAAATGCAGTGAAACTAAAGTATTTTCAAGCATCTTGAGCAAAAATAATGCTTTCTTTTTCAGCCTTATGCTTTCTTTCTAATTTAAAAATAGATACGAAATTTACTGGCTGACGTATCGTAGAAGCATTTAGCATATTTCTGTAGCAAGAGCCATTAAAAGCAAAAGGTACCTCAGACGCGGTTCGAACCATGAAAACTTTCAGATGCTAGGTGGACTTGCTAACCACTTATACCGATGCAGCACACGTTCTGAGGTTCGTTTTAAGCAGGAAACATGAAAAATCGAATACGCATTTAGCCGTAGGATATCGATATTTTGTATATGGGATTGTTATAACATTCAGTCCTGTACCTTTCTTTTTTATTGCGATAGACATTACAATATATTTAAAGGACTGTGTTCAAAGAGGGCAAAAATTAAGATTATCTTATCTAAGGAAAAAGGTGTACGGTGAGGAATATTTAAGGGGACTCATACACCTTAAAACCCATAAGATGTTCGAATAGGTGACTGTTGCAAGAATTGGGATAACTTATTTATTTTAAAAGCAATCACTACCAACTTTTTACAGCTGACTAATACATAGCTGTTTTCTGAAATATAATCAAAATTTTTATGTTGCCACAAATATTTTTATAATTTAATCCGTTTTGTGACAACATTTTTTCGTCATGTTTCCAACCTTGCGCGCACAGTTTAAAACATTCTGTTTCAAATTTAATTCCATATTTAATATATAGCTTTTATAACATCTGGAAACTACTGTGAACCTAAAATTCTAAAATTTTCACGCTAAATTTTTATTTTATTTTGATTGAGTTTATAAAATGTATTTATTAGAAAAATTTTTAATGTTTTCGTCCATAAAATTTTTCAATATTAAAATATTCATCAATTTTGGTTCAGTTAGAAAATAGTGCCCGTATAAAGAATTCCATCAAATCTCAAGTATGTACCATTAGCCATTTTTAAAATATCATGCGCGCAAGGTGGAAACATGGCGAAATTTTGTCACAAAGAGGATTAAATTACAAAATATTTTGCGGCAACACAAACCTTTCTGGTTACTAGTTTCCAAAGCAGCTATATTATGTAGTCAGCTGTAAAAAGATGGAAGTAATTGCTTTTAAAATAAATAAAATATCCCAATTCTCGCAACTATCACATATTCGAAGATCATGAGGGGTTTAAGGTGTGTGAGTCCCCTTAAGAAGTCTTAAAAATAAAAGTTCTTTTTTATTTTTAAGGTCAAAAAGTCAAAAAGGCCAATTGTACAGGGTTGGTCAATAATGGTTAAAACTTTGATGAAAGTAGCAATGAAAAACCAATAAACGAAATAAGATAAATTAACATATCAAAAATTAATCACCGATATTTAATGTTTCAAACAGAACTTGTCCAGGGGTAAATATTTAAAACACTAAACCGGATTGATTAATGAGTGCTGAATAACATGTTTCCTGCCTCTCGACACCTGTAAATTATTGTAAATTAATTTTCTTTTGAAAATTGTTTCTTGGGTAGTTTTACGGTGTTGAAAAGCTTCTCTGATATGCTATTCAACCTCTTGGAATTAAATGTAAGAATAAAAAACCTTATTAAAGTAAAAAAGGGCAAATAAACAAACTAAAATTAAAACACATTAAACGTAAAAACTTATAACGTATAAAAATACTGTAAATTGTTAGAAAAGCTGTACAGATAAATTCCGAAAACATTTTTTATATTAGTTATGAATTACTAACGGGTAGTCAAACATACAATTAAAAAAAGACTGTCTCGTAATCTTGAAGTCCTATCTAATTTAAATTTAATTTAATAATTTTTTAATTTTTTTTTTACTATTGATAAAAATCTAAGTATCATAGCCAATCATCATAAATGTAATCGTTTAAGGTTCTGCAAATTCAAAACAAATGCGACAAAGGAAACAGAAGCTGGAAAAACTGACTACTAGAGCCCTGATGCTCGTGTCAAAATGGCGGAAAATACTTAACAAAAATGCACATATACGGGCAGGTTTCCAAAATTCTTCGTCTTGAACATTTCTGGGCAGGCTTACCAGATCAAGAAGCTTAAAACGAGATTTAAAAAAGGGAAACTGTAGGCAGTACCCAAGACTATGTTTTTGGCGAGTTCTAGGTTAAAAAATCTCGGTCCTCTTGTGAGGTATTGTCTAACAATAGCAAGGGAAAGCTTCCAGGATCATCAAATTAAAAAAAAGTTTTAAAAAGTCATTTTAAGACAAAATGGCGACTGATTTTAAACGTTAGAACTTCGATTAAAACTAATTCTGGCAAAATTCAGAGGACAGAGTGAAAAAATGGCAAGTAAAAGCGATTAAAGTATTTATGGAAATAAACGTTAATACATCTTTGAAAAGAATTTGGTCTTTTGCTAATAATAGGAGAAGTGCCAGATTAGTTTCTTTTAAAACCAAAACTAAGAAAGTAAAAAAGTACATACACATTTACAAGAGATTAGCTACATCTAGAAGTTATATGTTACAAAATACTAATTACTTAAGAACATTAAATTACTAGTAATAGTCATCTTGTTGTACCTGCCTCTCGGTTGATGGTAAAATGATTATATCGCTGTCAGCAAGTAATTTAAAAATTTTAGTTTATACCTGCTTCTTATCGTTTACCAAATTTTAAATTTGGGAGTTCTGTTTTATACAAGATTTATTAATATTCGAAATTCTTCTTGAACGAAAATAAAATCAGTGCGAATAGTTTTGATTATAATTATTTGAGTGTGAATATCATTAAGCATTGCTTTTTTTGGAGATGTTTAAATTCTCTTCTTTTATCATACATTTTTAGTTTTTTGTAATCTAATATCTCTAAATCTACGTAATTGATATTTTCTTGTAGAAGATTCGTTTTGTTAAATTTTAGGCGAGGATCGATATTAGTTGCGTCGATTTTCCTAAAATTATTAATTGCTAAAGCGTCATCAACATATTTGACAATATTGGAAAAGTAAATAAATTCATTGGTCTTTATTTAGCGTTATTTGGAACTGATATTCTTTAGTAAAAGGTTATAAGTTACAAAGTGCCGAAGAGAAGTTAGAGTCCATAGGGATACCGTTAACCCGTTTATAAATAGAATGCAAAACTATCGTCAGAATCTCTGGAAAGAACATGGGTAGTGTTAAGGGACTAGCAAAAATTTCGTTTAATGAATTTTAAATGTCGAAAATATTAATGTTTGGGCAATGTCAAATTAAACAAAAAAATTCGAAAAATAACGAAATCTAACTTTTAATGCAGTCTCGCAGTTCCTGTACTTATATTTAGAAAGTTTTATACTCGTTATGAAAAAATAAAAATATAAGAAGTTTGACTGTCGTACGAAAAAAATTGACCAGGATTTGAAATGTTTGATGTCATCTTCAACTTACCTTGAGGGATCGATTTTTCAAATTAAGAATAATTCGAGGAAATAAGTTTAACTTGAGTGAAGCAAAAAATGTGCACATTTTAAAAGGCCGTACAATGAAGTCTTGTGGTGTTCACATCAGATATTTTATTAATTATAGTTATGGCGAGAAGTTTTGTAAAATCACTCCGTGGAAGTCATGAATATCAATTTGTTTCAAATGATTCAAGAAGTGAAATTTAAATTATTTCCACATTGTGACATGACCCTATAAAGACAACATCTGTAGACTTGATTTGTCGATACGATAAAACGAGAGATAAATGTACGTTCTGTTTTCTGCAAAATAAAATCTCCGTGAATAGTAAATTGGAAACAATAAATTACACACGGAATCCCATCTCTCATGTCACGAACAACAAACATTGGTTTCCATGCCAGTTTCTAAACATAAAAGATTTCATAAATGTTAAGCACGCGAGATGTCAACCTCCCGAAAGCCACAGTATTGAAAAATCATTATTCAATTGTGAAACTAGAGAGGAAAGTTCAGTGCAGCTTCTCGCAAGAGAATGTCCCGGCCATTGTTATAAATTAATTATAAATATATTCTAAGATTAATAATGCCCTCTTAAACTCTACGTTTAGCTACAGTTTAATAAGCTAATTCTCAGTGACTCCATTTTATTCATCACGCGTGGTTCAAGTTTAATCCTTTAATAGTTTATGACTTCCACCTTTAGCATTGAAAAGCAGACATGGTTTCAATTACCGAAAACAAACTGAAAATAGAAGATACCGTATATACCCGCGTCGAGATATTTTGGACAAAAAAAAAAGACTTCAAAGTGGGGGGGGGAGTCGACTTATACGTGGGGCCATAAAAAATAAAAGAATCGGAAGTTCAAAAATTCTTTATATAATGCAGTTGTTTTTCCCACCTTAAATTGACGACTTATCAAATAAGCCCCACTTGAAGTAATTCTGACTTAAATTTGACGAACTAATCCAGGTTTGATACTTTAACTAGATAAACTAACCAGAATTCGGCCCCGAACAACCGATCATATCGAGCTAAAAAAGTTTCGCCAACCGCCAAAAAAGAAATGCAGATAGTCATTTTAAAGATCGTGTTGATATTTTAAAAGAAAACTGTACCGAAAACGTTGTGTTTCCATCATGTGGCTGGTTCGTGCCCTAAAAGGGATGGATGGATGATGACGGAACAGCCGATTGGCTTAAATGTGGGGAAAAACCGGGAGCAGCTTTCAAAAAATCTTTTAGCATACGATTTTTCATGACACTTTTTAAGAAGTGACAAAACACCTAAAACCGACTGGCCGTAATTCGAAGGTTAACATCCGTCATTCAACCCCTAGATACGTCTGCCGAAAGAATGTTAGCAAATATTGGTCGACCAACATTTACAAAGGCAGGCAACATTAAAAAGCCGAATATTACATTAATTGCTCAGTGGGTTAAAGATGCTTGAAATGAAATATCCTCTGAAATGATAAAATCATTTAAAAAATGTATTAGCAACGAACTAAACGGCACAGATGATAATGCTGCTTTTGAAAGTGAAAATGATGACGAAGGCTCTAGTAGTGATTGTAACGATCCAGAGTTCGAGACTGAAAATATGTATGATGACGAGCCAATGATGACAAAAGAGTTCTATGAAATGTTTGACGAATCTGACCATGAATCAGACGTTGAAGGATTTTGATTTGTTTATTACCAAGGTTTTTTATCGTATATTTGTTTCCTCGATGATTCTGATAAATGTAATACTTCAAAAAAAATTCTAAGTTTCTAGATCGATTCGGAAGTGGGGGGGGGGTCTACTATACGGGTTCTTATTCTACAATTTTTTGTGGTCGTGGGGGGGTCGACTTATACGCGGTATCGACTTATACGCGAGTATATACGGTAAATGGAAAAGATAAATAAAATTCTAAAGTTACTTAAGTTAGTGTAAACTTATTATATTACATTTTGACAAAATACTTCCTACACTGTAATTGAGTGCTGAAAATGTTAACATTTTACCCTTCCTCGTCGAAATATTACTTTAATTGCTTGTTTTGTTTATGACGCCAAGTTATAAATCAAAAATACTTATACTGGTGGGTAAAATCGCTATTTTATGGGATTATTTTAGAACCGTTTGCTAATTTAACTAAATTGATTCGATTTTGACGACTCATCGTTCATTAAAAATTACTATGATAAATAAGATTGGGAAAGGGGCAGGAATCAAGAACAGTTAATTTCTTATGAAGAGGGGATAGAATCGAACGAGCAGTGGGATTGGAAAATCAACTCAACTGAACAGCTAATTCCCTGAATTTATTTTTTTCAACTGTAGTTTTGGCAGTGTCTAAAACGGAGAAGCGTAAAACATTGTTTACCCTCAAACTTAGCGATAAAAAGAGTGGGGGGAAAATAATGCTTGTTTTCTATCTACTAAATACTCACAGGTTATCACTTATTCACAGGAATGGATCTTCGTTCCTCCAAACTGCAACCGGGGGGGCTGGGATAACAGAAAAGACAGCAGTATTGTGTTTATATGAAAAATAAAACGAGTAAACAAGGCTTTTGAGCAGAGTGCAGGTTTTCAATGTACAGACATCATTATGGTGCTGTTTTACAAAAGAACAGTTTTTCATTACATCAGGTGGAGACAGATAATGTGTAATATAATATACATGCATAGTTCAGTTCCAGAATGTATTTAAAAAATATGCATATCAAAGTTAAATATGAAATAATACTAGAGTAAGAAATAATAACTAGAGAGAGTAAGAAATAATACTAGAGTAAGAAATACTATTGTAGAAATAATATGCAACTAGACATAAATGCAATTAAATATAAAAATAAGGGAAAATTACATCAACTAGTCCAAAAATATTTATGAAATGCACGGCATTTTAAAGGCACATCTTGAACAGGTTACAGCCGAAAACATCGCGGCAAAAACATCGCAGACGAAAACGTCGCGGAGAAAACAACGCAAGGCGAAACGTGTGAACAAACACGTAGAGGAACCACGCAAAGAACATCGCGGTACAAAACAGCGTCGTCGAAATAAGCGTCAAAACTCGCAGTTTAAAACTCGTCGTCGAAAATATCGTGGTAAAATAAGTACTACAAATCAGCAGGACGATACTCGCAGACCTACTTCTCAGTTTAATATTTGTAAGGAGTTCCCGTAAGATTGTGAGCGCAAATGAAAGAAGGATAATTTTTACTTCATATTTTAGTATCATCAATTTTCTGAGAAAATAAGAAGGAACTTACATATAAAATAATATAAAACTAACATTAATGAGTTTAAACGACATAGTTAATAACAAGCCATTAATCATCATTTTATAAGTTTTTTTTTCATTTCATGAAGTATAATCTATAAGTTGCTTTAATTCTAGCTTCAGTTCCTTCTACTTTCAGCAACATTATTAGTTAAAAAAAGTGTGAAGTAAAGTTATCTTCTTACATCTTCGCACAATCATTGGGAATATCCATTTAAAATTATTAAACCAAAAAGTATGTCTCGATGTTATGTCATGCGATGATTGTAGATCTTCATTTACCAGATATTTCGACGACGAGTTTTAAATTGCGAGTTTTTGAACGCTATTTCGACGACGTGATTGTACGCGCTGTTTAGAAGCGATGTTGTCTCTTGCGATTTTTACCCACGTTTTGTAGCACGACGTTTTCCCTTGCGTTGTTTTCTCCGCGACGTTTTCGTCCGCGATGTTTTTGCCGCGATGTTATCGGCGGACACCTCTTGAACAAGAATATTACAGTAAAATGAAGGACTGCCCCGTACAAATCCGAGGTGTCTGTGCACTTCAATTAAACGCAATTCATGGCAAAAAATTTACATAACCTTTGCTTACGTCATGACTATTTTAATTAAAATTATTATTTCAGGAATATTTAAATTTTTATATGTCCCAAATAAATTTTAAATGTCCATTAAATTGTCGATATTATGGCCCGCACTTTTTACCGCATAAATCTTCCTCCGCCCCCCCCGAAAAAGGAATCTCTGAGAAAAAAGTTGGTGTTATAGTCCATCACGGTAGTGCGCATTTGGTCTGTCTGTTTATAGGCATGAATACTTTCGTGGAGAACGTTCTAAACAATTCTGCGAAAACTAAGGAATCTGGTAATTTCTGAGGAATATAAGCGAAACCAGCAACTCCACGAGAGTTTCATACAACTAAATGATTCAATCAGCTGGAGTAAACCTCGTGACAAAGAAACGTTTCCAGACTTTGGCCATTGGTAAATCCCTAAAAAAATTCGAAAAAACTGTGATTCCTAAGAGCAACCTTTTTCAAAGAAGTTTATTCTAGAAAAATCTGGATAGTATAATTGGAGAAATAGTCCTCCAGTATTTCTTATAGCTTGTAGAGACATTAGGTATTTTTTGGAAGCCGGAGAGATGAAAAATTAACAACGCCTTCGTCGGGAATCGAACCACGGACCTCTGGTATACCGGCCCAGTGTGCAGAACCACTCCACCACGAAGGCACTCTAAGAAGGTGGGAGAAATACCTTATAAGCTGAGCTGTACAAAGGTATTGCAATCCGAAATAGATATGTATTATTTACGTGGAATGCTGTTCGGATTGCTAAAAATGTTTTATTTGATCTCTGCTGTCGACTATATGTACGGGCGAACTGAAAGAACCTTGGTAACTTTCGAAAAAACAGCGCAGGATGGTGCATGCTTGCATCTTAAACAGAATATTGATTATATGACAAGGTTTTAGAGTTTAAATAGTAATTTTATGTATCGTCATAATAGCGTTAAACTATTTTTCGTTAAATAAAACCATTTTATTGTAAATCCTAGAAGGGCTCAGATTAAGAGTAAAAATATACTTCAAGAGACATCCTATGATACTATCCTAGATTTACGCTTTAAAACTAACAAGATAAGCCCTAATTTTGATTATGGAGTACGCTTCCTTTTCTTTACACACATACAGGGGTTGGACAAAAATATGGACACCGTTTAAAAACATGTTTCTTGCTTCATATGGTGTAGGAACGTGGCATCAAACCACCGTGCATCCTCGCCTGGATAATACAGTTCTTATCTTTGCAAGGGAATATATACATTCTTCCTGCAAACGGTGGCAAGTCATATAACGATGTGCGGTGGATTCGAGAACGCACTTCCGTTCCAATGTAGACCCAAGTCGATAATTCAGGTTGGTGACTGTGGTAGCCAGGGAGATGGGACAACTTCATCATCGTGCTCAGAAAACGTCCCTGACATGTGAGCTGTGCGAACAGGGGCTTGTCGTCTTGAAGACCCCATCATCGGGACAAAGTTTGTCCCATGGGATGAACTGATCGGCCAAATGTCACATAGTTTGGCAGTCATTGCCTGACACAGTTCTCTGGGCAGCGAGAACACGATATGGCGCCCAAAACATAACAGACCCCGTGTTCATCGTGGCAACAAGCAGTCTGTATTATAGGCGTGAATGGCGTTCTCCGACGTAACTCGGCCAGAAGTGGAACGATTGAAAGAATACTCGTAGACATATTACTCGCTTCCATGATTATAGTCCAGGCTTTCTGACTTAAAACACTTATTCCTGTTCGGGCATTATCATCATGATAGTGCTTCTCAATTGCGCACTGCCAGCAATTCCCTGTTTATTAAGTCCTTCTAATTGTTGGTACCCCAGTCGGTACACAACATCAGTTAGCGGTGCGAATATCTCGGTACAGTCTCTTGAACATAAACCCTCGGTCCTGCTACGAAGCACAGAGACGTGCTCCACAGTTGCCCACTTTGAAGTATGTTAACTGAATAATGCATGACACCTCAATAACGTACTCCGTCCCAACTGAAAAATTAGCATTTACGAAGTGTATAGGTGGCGCGTAGTCAAAAACGCCAGCCACCTCATATTCATTAAATCATCTTCTTTCAAACATCTTTCACAAGGTGTTTCCATATTTTTGTCCATCCACTGTATATCCCAATCTGAAATATTCAGGACTTTCAAACACTTTTTTAGTTCACAACAGCTTTGGCCGTTTTCAATGAAACAACCTGTTTTCAAAGCAAAACTTTAAAAGATCTCAAAATGGTGCTTGGTTTAATGCTGGATGAATTTTAACTTGTGCATTTCTATAATTCTAGGGATGAAGAAGAGGAGGAGGAGGAAGAAATGATGTTCTTACCCGGAGCTGTCTCTGAACCAGAGCCAGGTTTGTGTCGTGCAGTTATATATCCTTGTCATATATATGTTACGGTGAAACACCGAAATCCGGAGAAGGTGATTTCACGTGAATGTCACAAGCCCTAGTCGTGGTATGTCCGAATATTTCCAAACTTTATTTCTGACTTACACCGGTCAATGTCGAATCACCATGTACTATGGTGAATGTTCAAATTATAATATATTAGATTTTCTCGTAATCAGTCGCGCAAAAACGCACTTAAGGTAAAAAAGAATTAAACCACGGTACTTCAAATGAGAAGGAATAATAGAAGTTAAAACTTACTTAATATACAGACGTTTAAATGAAAATAAATAACGTGCAAAAAAACTTACTAAATTATGTGATTCAAAATCTATATGCAACAATTTAATCTATCTGTCTTTATGCCTCTCTTTTGGACTACACAAAAACATACTGGATGCGACTTACACCAGTGGAGTCCGAAGTAATGCGATATTCGATCTTCACGAGGTATTGGTGAATGATGCCTTCCCGGTGAAGTCGAATTCTCCAATTTCGGTCTTTCACGGTAACATATGTATGTCAAAACGTGTGAAACACGGCTGAGCTGTGAAATTCGTTATTAATCATGAAATTCGTTAAAATAATTTTATATGATACTTTGGAACTCTAAAAAAAGAAAGAAATTAAAAAGAAAGGTAATATAATGGTGTCGCTGCTGAACCAGCCTCTCGAAAGTTTTTATCCCGTACGAACTGAAGTGAACTGAAGACTTAAATAAACTACAGAAATAGTAGTGTCAATAACGCTAATTCCCTAATCCCAGAAATGTCAATAACGGTCCCCTAATCCCAAAAATGAATGTTGCTTACCATATTGTAACTAAACTCCTTCTATCGTTTAAATTCTCGGCCCACCAGCGGCCGAGCGATAAAATTGCTGAACACTGGTAGTCGGTCCGAGGTTCGAATCCCGCGAACGGGCGGCCATGGGCGTTTTCTGGTTTCCCAGGTGTACGGTGTACGAGCGTTTCCCTTAAAAGTCTCACGAAGGCTCCCTCCTCTAGGCATGGCCCTCGAGGCTTTGCCATAATCACACATGCCTTCGTGGTGTAGTGGTCAGCACGCATGACGTGTATTCGAGAGGTCCGTGTTTCGAGTACCGGCGAGGACATTGCTCATTTTTCACATCTTCTTCCAAAATATCCTAATAAATCTACAGAGGCGCCTGAACTAAAAGGTGGTGGATGATGATTCCCCACCACCAGGATTTGGCGACTAGGTCCCCTAATCTCCTGTCGCCCTTTAAAAAGGGGAAGTATGTAAGGTATTTCTTCCACCTTCTTAGCATGCTTACGTGATGTAGAGGTTAGCACGCTTGATAAGTATTCGAGAGGTTCGTTATTCGAGTCCCGGAGAGAGCATTGCTCATTTTTCATCTCTCCTGCTTCAAAAAATTCCTAATGACTCTACATTTTGAAGGAATCCCTCTTTCAGCGACCGTCCGTGAAGAAGAAAAAAGGTACTTTTGCCTTCTTCCATATTATTATCGGTCTTCTAAAATATTATTGGTGCCTCGGGTTGGGTCGCTAGAGGGACTTATTTATTGTATTATTATAAATATATGATCACTTATTAACTCCAAAAAATGGGAGGCTTCATATTAGTATCTTTAACAACACAACATATTTTATCATTTACATAAAGTTTAAACGATAGAAGATTAATTACAAATACGGTAAGCAGCGTTCGTTTCTGCTTCCATTCGTTATTGACAGTCTTCCGTTCACTTCAGTTTGTAAGGGATGAAAACTACCGAAAGGCTGGCTATAAATGGAACAACATTAGTCGGAAATTAATTTGCCTTTCATTTGAAAGCAATTCATTATATACTAGACTGAAGTTTTACCTGGCATTTCTTTCTGTTTAAACAGACAATAAGCTATGTATACAAAACGTTTACGTTTCATAGATTGTTATAATCTATATATTATTCGTTATATCAGTACACATCTCTTTAATAACTACGCCAGATGAGCAGGGAGGAATAGACACTATATTGAAATAAATAATAACTCATTGCAAAATGAAAACTACAAATAACTCAAGGAAAATAACGGAGGTGTCGCTGATTCTCCCTTAACACGCAAGGAACTTCGCAGATCACCGATATCAGTCTGAGAGATCAATCACAAACTCTAAACCGTAATCAATGAGCAAGAGCTCAAGATAATCGCATAATTCTGAATCGACTCATTCTTCTAACTCTGTGAACTAGCTGGGTTTCATCTTGAACGCAGTTGTACGCACCATCTTGAACACCATCTTGAACACAGTTGAACGCATATTGTTCAGTATTTCTGGTAGCTTCAATAGAAATCGTTGTTAGGCTTCGAAGATGTGTTTTCTAGGAACTTCCAGAATAACGTGAAAATTGGTGAGAGATTGACAAGTACCGCCAATTTTCGAATAAAAATTGTTGCCAAGACTCATTAGATGAGTTTTTGTTTCTATTTTAATTTCAGTTGAACCATTTTCCCAATTTAACCCGTGATCAGTTCAGAATCACAAAATCTACTATAATACAGTACACAATAATTACAAAAACAATATGTGGCCACAACTTATTGTGCTTTAATAAGAATTCGATTAGACAAAAGCACAATAAGAATTGTAATGTAAAATATTGTAAACAAACAAATAAAGAAAGATAGAAATCATAACTTTTTAAAATTACGCAAAATTCGATTTACAATCAAATAACATAGATGTTTACGTCATAAAGTGCCAGATGTTTAATATTACTTGTAAAAACATCGTTTTTGCACGATATGGTTACTAAATTATTCGTTGCACTTGAAATTGTGCAACAAAATAAATATAAAAAGGATTTTATATTTTTATACCCAAAATTTAATAACTAATTTACTGATTTGGTCACTTTTCTGATTCACAGTGTCTAAAAAACGACCTAAATCTCATATTTCACAACAAAATTTAGGACACCTCGACAAAATAAAAGGTTTCCAAATTTAGAAGTAACTATTCCTATTGAGTAAACTAGAATATGTTCTTAACTTTGCAGCTAGTTCTTGGAGAATATTAAGTAATCCTAATTTTACTAAGTAACGCTATAGACGTTTGTATTTAAATTGTAAAGTTTAACGTTTAACAAAAATTTTTACCAATTAGAATTTTTGGTCTCCGGGATCTTACAGAAATTTGATTTTATTCATTTAAAGAACTTTATGCATTTTGAAAGAGTTTGCATAAAATTCTGTAACTTATTTTGAAACACTTTGCATCTGTACTAAATCAAACCTAATTAGCAGTCCCGACTACGCCTATTTAACTTTCCTGTGCGTAGATGAATTGCCGTCTTGACGCCTATCTTGGAGTCTAAATTCTAAGGACCCAGACGAGGTAAATCTTAATTAAAAGGTTTATAAAACGATAACATCATCCAGTAAAACTAACATTTGAAAAACAAATATCAACCGGCGCCAGTTGCGGAGGCAGAAATTTAAACGTCGATATATATATAGTACATAGTACATAATACAGAAGATAATAACTTATCTTCTGTATTATGTACTATATATAAAGCCTTACTAAACCGGTTCTAGCTATTCCAACTTCTAGCCCAGCGCGCCAAAAAAATATAAAATTACTCACCAAAATTTAAATTGGCACACAAGTGGGCCTCTTAAAGGTAAACAGTTTTCCGAGAGGAGATTTTTTTTTTAATTGAAAATTATAAATTCCTTGTGCACCCAGTATTGCACAAGGCTTCTCGGGGAGTTGACATAGCTTTCTTTCTCAACTTCAAATACCCTCTCTATTTAAACTAAACCTAAGTTTCATTTTAATGATTGGCTCACCAGCGGCCGAGCGATAAAGTCGCTGAACACTGGTAGTTCGGCCGAGGTTCGAATCGCGTGAACGGGCTGGCTGCACGGGCGTTTTCGTGGTTTTTCCCGTGTGTAACGTGTATACGAGCCAGTTTCCCTTAGAAAGTCCTCCACGAAGGCATCCCTCCTCTTAGGCAGATAGCTTTAGTGTGCTTTGCCATAATTAAATACACCACACCAACACCATTTTAATGATTGCCATCGAAAGATACGTTTTTCACAGTGGCGGGTCTTCAGCCGACTTCGGCTTGCTCACAACGAGGGCCCCAAACTGAGCGGTCCCATCGAAAGATATAGAAGGTACTGAAAAGAATTAACATAAAAATAACTTGCTGGTTAAAATAACATCAGATCTGGAAGCGTACACTAAGAATCCATCCGTATTAAAATTCCAAGCTAAGTTTATGTAGCGAAATTTAACATTTGTTATCGAAAAATAAAGTTTTATTGTAAGTTCAATTACATCTGTTAATCATAAACAATCTAAAGCTTGAACAATTCTTCTCGTTATTGTGTTACTTTATGTTGTAAAATGCTAGAAATAACTAACAGCATTTTGTTGCTTCCATGAAATGGATAAGACGCATAATACTAAGAGTCGAACAATTCTAAACAAATCTGTTATTTTTACTCTTATACCTTCAGAATCACAACAGAGACAACGAAACGTTTTTCGTTAGAATTTTGATCTTTTTTTTTTCCGGTTTTCGAATGCAATAATAATGAGGTCTCCAGATAAGAAGCTTGAAATGATGAAAAGGTAAAAAATATTTCTCCAAACATTTTTGATTTCTTTCTTCGCTTACTTCCTGTACACATCATTAAAGACGCCGTTTTTTTATTGCGTTCGTTAACGAAATCACATCGATGAATGAATTTCTTCGAGTATTCCCAAACGTCTTCATTTTCTGCGGCTAAAAATTCTTTCCGACTGTCTTCTTTCAAACACTTCTTAGACTGAAAATATATTTCACGCTGATGATATTGCTTCTATATATTGTTTACATGATTTTTGAATTTGACACTTTTATAAATTAGGTGTGCATATTTGAAAGTTAGTTTTTACCGACTATTTTTGATTAGAACTGAATAAAATATACCAAACAATAAAAGAAATTAGATATTAGCTGTCTTTTTTCTGCTTTTTGTTTGTGGTATGGCAGCATATGAAATCTTTGTTCTACATCACATTTCTCGATTTCAGTATTCTATTTAAATAAATTATTCTCTCGAGAGAATCTAAGCTGCATTCTTTCAAATTTATATACCTTCGGTACTCACATTGCTTCTTGAGCAAACTGATTCTGAAAGATGTTTTCTAATTTCATAATTTTTTCTTCATAAAAGAGCGTTAATATTTTATTTTAATTTAGCTTTTAAAATTGAAATGATTTTAATATCAATTGCTAAGGAATGTCATAGATTAAATTGATTTACGTTACGGCAATAATTAACTGAATTTAGCATCATAATCGCTTAATTTTAGTATTCTACAGGCTTTTTAACATATTGCTCTTGCAATTTGACAAAAGTTTCTTTTCCTTTTTTTTGCGTTTGCAATTAAACCTATTTTTTTGAAAAGATTGAATTTTTCACATCTTCTTTTATTAAAAATCTTTACCTCAAAATTTACTATACAGGGTGATTCTAAATTGTTTTTACAAATTAAGAGGATGATAGTATTCATCCAGATGAGCAATAATTACTATAGAACATAGGGTCGCATTCCACTCTGAGAGGAAAAGAGGCATATATAATTCCCACATTGCATCGCGTATGAAGCGATGACGAGACCAAAGTTACCGCGCAGTTAGTGAAAACTCAAGGAGTGTACCAAACGGATAAAACAACAACTTGACGTGCGAGGTTATTCGAGCTCAAACTTTGATGGCAACCCAAAATGCACATCTTGTTTGGCAAGTTCATCCGCACCGATGCAACAATATTTAATTATAGGGGGAACTGCTACCCTTACAGGGTGACCAAGAAAAGGTCGAAACGACAGGTGGTACAAGTAGACTTTCTTCAAAATAACCCCAAGCCTGAGAACAAATCCCACTGATGAACAGCCGCCGCATTCCTTTTCCGAATTCTAAGGCCGTGACGCTACCCAGTCCTCACGCGTCTGCGGACGTCGTCCGGTTGAAGCGTCCGTTCAGGTTTCTCGTGGACCAACCATGGACTCGCGGGACATGTCGGACTGTACGCGGAGGGTCACGTCTCCCACTTGGCCAGTTCTTGTGGACTGGCGACGTGACGCGCGTATCATGGAGAAGCCCCACATCCTCCAGCGCAGCCCCGGTTTTGTACTGAAAACTGGTGGCGTCGAGTGTCTCACGGTACACATCGGAGTAATGGTTTCTGTGCTTGAGGAATTCCATAGGGATTTGACGTCAAAAAGTGAAAACCTTGCCTCGACGCACGACTTGAACATTTTAGGGGAGGTGACGTGTGCTTCCACTGCATGTGTCCCGCTTTGTCTTTAACTCGTAGGATGGCACCACGTCTCATCACCTGTGACGATCCGCTCATGAACGCGGGGTCTTCCTTATATCGAAAACATGTTACGCCTTCCTTTGCTGGTCGGTGAGCTGCTTCGGACCCAAGCGACACACCTTCCGATTCTCAACCTGTCGTGAACAATTGTCCACGCGTTTCTATCTGACATCCACTTCACCGCCAGATTCGCAATGTGACACGCGATACTTCCACTAGGTCGTCCACCTTGTCGATGGAGATTGTTTGTGATGACAGTGTTGCCTGGCTGGTATCGGGTCTTCACACACTCTCGCGGCCTGCACGAAAACGGGGCTCCATTTCTGACAGACTGCAGAGACCATTCTCCTCGTAAACTGTCACCATCGGCAGCTGCCTGTTCTCACCTTGCGTCAGAAACTCGGATAACACATCGTGCTCTTCAGTCGTCGAATTTGCAACGCGAACGCCATCCTGTTCTATACGGACTGCGGCGCATTTGGACGCCGCTTTTGATAGAGCCTCTGCTCTTCCTGCAAATGCGGGCCCGCGCATGCTCCGATCCCAGTCAGAGACGCCAATCAACATCCCAAGATGTCTCGCTCGTCTCCCATGGCGGAATATGCAATACTAACTGTAGTTTTTACGTCGTTTCGTACCTTTTCATTTGATCAGCCCTTGTATAAGGTAGAAGTTGTTGTTCCCCCCCTTCCCATCTTCTATCCTTCCTCCTGGACTTACTGTGCTGCTCTTCTACTTAGCGCCCTCTATGGGACACGAAGTTCTTGACTTCATGCTAAGGGACATACAACGGAGTGGAGTTAATTGATAATATTCAGCCCTTGATTAGATAATTAACTTGCTGCAATCGTTTGCGAGGTTGAGACCTTGCTAACCAAAGATGTGCATTTGAGTGTTTGCCATCAAAGTCTGCTATAGAACGCCAAGTTTGTGGTTTTATCCGTTTTGTGCACCTTCTGTGAGTGTCTAACTAACCTGATTGTGCAACTTTTGGTCTCGTTCATTCCCTCTCTCAATAATGTCCCAAGTTCAAGTTGGAATTATAATATTCCTCTTTTCTGCCTCTCAGAATGGAATGCGACCCTATGTTCTATGTCAATTATTGCTCATCTGGATGAGTACCATCACCCATCTTAATTTGTAAAAGCAATTTAGAATCACCCAGTAGTACTTTTATGAAACTTTCCTCAAATATTCTATGAAATATTGTGAATTAAATGGACTAAAAGTTTAGGTTTATGTACATATCTAACTTTTTTCAGACAATTTTGTAAATGAGAACAGAAATTTCTCGTTATATGTGCTAAAACAAGTATATTTGATAAACATTATACTTTATCGCTTAGATTTTAGTCCATTTAATTCCTTATACCTTAATAAACATATATAGTAATCGTGAAACATGTCATTAACCCAAAATGTAAGAAAATAAAATAAAAATTATAATATTTTGTAAGCTGTTTATGATTTTTAAATAGTATTCTGATAAATAACACCAATAATAGATTTCTTTGTACTATTTTCCAAAATGTGGGTGTCTAACGTAGTCGGATATCTTAAAGCGATATACATGATAATGTAAAAATATGTAATTTATTTTAGTTTAATGATCCATGTTTCTGTATAATCATGTTATTATTTTCCAGTCAAAATATGTGGAATCAACAGATGCCTTCAGTAGAAGGTTTTAGTTCACATATTATGTTTAATATTTTCAATCAAATTTCCGATCTTTTTCGCTTAAAATTTTATTTCTTTAAAACCACCACGCGAGACTTGCACTAACACCTCTTTTTAGTATTTGTTATATTTACACTAGCACTTGTTTCTATATTTTTTATATTTACACCAGCACATTTTCTTGATATTTGTCTTCGAAAGTCCTCTACGAAGGTACGCTCCCCTTAGGCAGATGGCTCTCCAGTGATTTCCGATAATCATGCTGTTGTTGTTGCTCACTTGTCTGACGTAGTCAGCCCAAGCCTACCAAATTCCTCGTGGCAAGGAGTGCTAGAATACGCTGGTAACATCCTTGAGCACCATTGAGGTAACAGTGCGATTTAGCTCAGATCCGCCCCCAGTTTCGATGGATACCACCCCGGGGGAGCGGATGCAAGGGTTCACCCCTCTTCCCTTCCACCAAACCACACGAGAGGACTTTCGGCTCGCCGCATATTTAAAGTGCCGCCATGCTGTACCGACACTACACATTTACATTCATGCCTTCTGCGGCCCGTTTGACACGGCAGTCAGCGACTCTAACTACTATACCCGTTGAATGGCTACCATAATCATAATTAAATAAACCAAATCATCCTAATATTTGTTAAAAAGTTTCTGACTATTTCTGAACATTGCGTCACCAGATATGTCAATTGATGGCTTTACTTAGGAAAGAAAGGAAATGGAAATTTAACTATCCAATTCGTAATAAAATACGCAAAACATAATTAAGATACAATAACACGCCGAACAAATATTAATTTAGAAGTCAAACAACAAAAATCAGCGTTATATTTTCAAATTTTCACAGGACTAGTTTCGATGATTTTACCGAACCATCATCCTCAAAAAGCGCTTTGCTGCAAAAGCGCAAATGAATCATTTGCAGCTGAAGATGACGGTTCGGTAAAACCATCGACACTAGTCTTGTGAAATTTGAAAATATAACGCTGATTTTTGTTATTTGACTTCTAAATTACTTAAAAAATGTTAGTAATTTCAAACGCATATGCTTCAAAAATGAAAAAGTTCATGCTTCTTAAGAATATAATGTTCGTTTTGTCTAATGTTTGCAGAATAAAGAAAGCATTGTCTTATTAACAACTGTATCTACATTTGTATTATTTACATCGTTATATATTCAATTTCGAACTCGAAATCGCTTTGCGTTTGAAAAATTCAACCTTTGTTATAATAACGAATTTCAAATCTAGTTCATATCTAAACATTAATTAGAGAAATTTGATACTTTTATCTGATAAAATGCATTCAGATGCTTCAGAGTTACTGAAATGCAAGAACACCAGAATTAATATCCTGAAATTGGTCTCTTTCTTCCAGAACCATCCCAAAGGGAACGCTACTATGTTTATCACGTAACTGACATCGACGGTTCTCGAGAACTAGTCGGTTCCCTTTACCTCCCCGTAGACAGCTTCCTGAATGATGTTCGGCGCGAGATTGATCGAGACAGAGATCTCTCCGAAATGATCGAAGGCAGAGAATACAGGTTCCTGGACGAGAACATGGAAGTCATCCCGAACTACCAAGAGAGCTCGCTTGACTTGGAGAGGATATTTCCTGCTGATGGCATTAACGTTCAATTCGTGCGTGAGTATGCGTGTTAGAATATTAAACATGTAATTTGAAGTTGTTACATCACAACAACGTTGATGTACAGACTCTCATTTCAAATCTTATTAAATAATATGTTATTCATGACAGGTAATTTTTAGAGATACGACTGTTTAAATATTAAATATGTTAGCACTTATTATCGTTCGGATAATATAGTGGATTATCGTTCGGATAATATAATGGATTATCGTTCGGCATTAATATATAGTCGGCATTAGTGCAACAATTCTTCTTATTCCTTAATTTTGATTGCGCAACTCGTAATTTATTTCATAACTATGCTTCATTCTTAAATATGAATATGCACACGGGATAGCATAGATCTCAAGAATAGTTTTCAAGAAATAACTATAATTTTCCTAATTTCAAAGTGCTTCTTCCTTAATAGCTGTTCAGATTTCGGATAACTTACAAGGGATAAAGATCTCGGCTTCAGGAACTAATGCTTTATTATGATATTATTATTATTATTAGTCCAAAGTGCTATTTGCCCAGAAGGCTTCTAAATAGCATCTGCATAGGGATAGCAGATCTCAAGAATAGTTTCCAGAATAACTATAATTTTCCTAATTTCAAAGTGCTTCTTCCTAATAGCTGTTCAATTTTCGGATAAACTTACAAAGGGATAAGATACGGCATATCAGGTGAACTAATGCTTATTATGATATATTATTATTATTAGTCCAAAAGGGCTATTTGCCCAGAAGGATTCTTAAATATGAATATGCATAGGGATAGCATAGATCTCAAGAATAGTTTTCAAGAAATAACTATAATTTTTCCTAATTTCAAAGTGCTTCTTCCTTAATAGCTATTCAGAATTTCCGGATAAACTTACAAAGGGAATAAAGATATCGGCATATCAGCTGAACTAACACTTTATTATTGATATTATTATTATTATTATTAGTTCAAAAGGGTTATTTGCCCAGAAGGATCAGTAGTTTCGTTTTGGCATTTTGCAATGATTCACTACAAGCGTTGTTTCGCTTTTCAAATTGTTGCCACCATATATGATCGCTGTGTATTATATTTAAATTAAATAATGAAGAATCTGCATAAATGTATGTATGTGTTTCTCGCACTGTGATAAAACAACCGTACCTAGAGCCATCCAATTTTGCATAATATTTTGCATAATATTTGCATCCTCCTGCTAATATGGGCATATGAAAGCCCAAATTTGAAATTTGTTTTATAATCGATTTCATATTTTGTAAAACTTTAACGAATTTTTGATTAGCAAACTCGAGGATTTCAAAGTGAGCCATGGCAACGTTGCACAGGGGAAAAAAATTATCTCCGGCGCGCGAGACTGTGTATCGGAAATTCTAAACATATGCTGATTTTAAAATTATTTTGCGATATTGCTGTTGAGCTGAATTTTATGGTTTAAGTGCGAAGAACATGATAATTAATAAATAAAGGTAACACACAAAATATTAAAAAAAATACCCCTTTGGACGTAATTTAAAATCAGATTCAGATTTTTTTCTTTTTATTATTATTATTGTCATAATCACCATTATTTTGAAAAAAAAAAGCCTTATATTGCAAGACTTGACAAGAAATTAGAAAAATATTATATACAAAATTTATTTTAATATGTTAAAAATAGTATCATATGCGTATGCTTGAAAACGAGACCGCATACGGGCTGACTAGAGGGGCTTGTGACCATCCTGATTCCAGTACCACTGTCTTGTATTCTTCGGAAATTCAATCTTTCCACAGAGTTAAAGTGAAATCGATTTGACAAACTCCTCCTGTTCATACTGCTCTCTGGAGTGCAGGAGATACAGAGCACTTCCGAGGGCCTTGTTATGACTTGATGACGGACATCTTCGCTGTATGACCTTCGTGCCCGGTAAAAAATCTTTCTCTTACTCGTATCTGTTCCCTCCCTACTCCTTCTGCTCATCTCCTGAACGTATGGGCATTTCCCGGGACAATTGTTGACAGAGCAGGATTCTGTTTGTGATCCTCTTTTACGGCGTTATCATTTGCACTTGGTGTAGGATTTTTCCCCATCAGCGGGATTGGAAACAAAAACAAAAATAGTATCAGACAAAAAAGGACACTGATATGTGTAATACCGGATAAAAGTCCGCGCATTTAGTAGATGTGGAGATTTTCAGGAGATGTAGTGAAAGAACACAAAAGTCATTTGCGACTGCCAAAAGTTAAAAGGAAAAGTTTGCTTCTAAAAAATATGCATTGGGGGGTTTTAAATTCAACGAATCAAAGGTGGCGAAGCAAATCTGCAAGTATACAGAGCCGACATATTAATTTAAGAAAATTTTCGAATATACCGAAAATTTGTCACAAATGAAAAAAAAAAAAAAAAAAAAAAGAAAAATATAGTCATAAATACCATTAAAGATGATGGTTTCAAATTGGACGCTATTGTTAAAAAAATACATTTCTCTAGTTCACACAAAAATGTACCAAAATTAGGTAGTCTATTTGCTGGTAAATACAGAGGCAACTCCAGTACGTCTGGAAATTATCTATTTATCATACTCATATGAAGAATTCCCATGGAGATGAAGCGTATAACAGCAATAAATCATTACAATTCTATTCGCCAAATACAAGTGCTCAGTTTAAAAATGGCTCTCCATTAGAAACAATCAGTGTACAGAGGCTAATCATACATTTTTAGACGATGTATATTGTATTCACAAAACTAAATTACATAAAATTCTTGTGTTTTAAATGTTCTATTTGGCATCCCTTGTTCTGAACTATCTTTCGACACCGCAATTTCCAGGATAATAATGCCTCTTGAAGTGGCAGAAGAGGTATTCTATCCCATTCCTCTCGAACAGCTTTCCAGAGTTCTGTTAGGGTTTTGGGACAACGTTTGGATAATGCAGTTTTTAAAAGTCCGAAAGCACAAAAATACATAGGTGATACAACGGGAGATTTAGTAGGGATATCAGTGAAGGGTGTGGCCTTCATACCAGTTTTTTGTTCCATTTCTTTTAGGAAATTTACAGTGGATTTTGATGTGTGACTGCTAGCTTTGTCCTGATGGAGTCTCACAGATGGATGGCACTGTGGGTTAAAGCGATGGTATTTCATTCAGAAAAAATGACGATAAAATAGGCTCCTGATAGTATTGGAGTTAATCTTGACATTTTTTTTGCCACTCCTTTATTTTACTGCCATATAGGAAAAACCAGCAACAATCATGAATCCCTAGAAAAACGTTCTTTCGATTCTTTGAACCATATACTTAAATTTTGTTCTCCCCTTTATGATATAAATGGTTTTTTTTTGTTACAATATTTAAATACACCCATGCGTCTCTAGGTGACAATTGTTTCCATTTTTCTTTGGATAAGTGTTTCTCATAGAATTCTGCAGCGTGTCCTGCGTCGAGCGATATGCTTTGGAAGAAGACTATGCACATTGCGTTTCTTCGCTTGTTTAAGATTTAAATCAACGTTTATCATTTTTTTAGAGTGGACACCGAGCATTTTAATGATTTTGCAACTGTTCTTCGACTAAAGGGATTTTCTTTTAACATTAAAGAACGTACGTTTGCCATAGTCGAAAGATGTCCGTTTTTTCCTTGGATACTTGTTTGGAATTTTTGTCCCACTTGAGGCTCCAATTTGACGTTTTTTTTCCTTTCTTGTTGATGATATTCCTATCGACGCTTAGAATCACAAAACCTGACTCTAATCGTTTATGGATAACGGAGTAAGCTATTTCTCTTCGGAAAGAGCGTAAATGTAGCCTCGAACCACCGCTTGTTAATTCGCCATTTGGAATAAAAACAAAACTTTCAAGCCACAGACATAATTTTGCTTTTAAAAAACTAGTACAATTGTAATTACTTCTTTTGCAGCAAACGAATTTTTATTACCGCTTACGAAAATCCTCTAAAAAATGTGCGAACAGCCTCTGTATCTCAATACTTCGAATTGAGCTCGGAACTAAGAACTCCAAAACTGATGCTTTATGCGGTCGTATATAGTTTCCCCCAGCCGTCGAGAAATCTCTTGTAACTTTCACTTCTCAGCGGCATATAACGGCTGGATAAGGTTACAGTTACATATTTAGATTAATCACATTTATTCAATAACAATACCAATGACATTTTTACATGGCCCGGACCAAATTTGGCGACAAAAATTAGTCACCAAAACCATTTTTAGATTGGCGATATCTCTCCAATTTATTTACTCAGTGTTAAACAGACTTACCCCTGTATTCTTATATTCATAGCAAAGCTGCGCCACTTCAGATTTTCATGTTACATTATACATACGATTCTACAATTTTTAATTTTTAATTTAATTTCACTAAAATTATTTGCATAAATATAAAATTTTTGAACCAATGATTATTTTAACGTATACAATAAAATATATATTTTCATTAATCTCCATATGTTAGAAAATAAAATAACGTGAAATTGTACCTTAACATTTCTGCTATTTTATTTTCAGTCAAGGCAAATACATCATCAAAATCCAAAATTCGTATTTCAGATGTGCTGATAAATAAAAATATCTGAAAAAAAAATGTTTAAACTGGTAACATTTAATACACAGAGTTTTTTTGTTTCCAGTTTAATTTATTAATATATATGCAAACCTAATGATGTAAGCAATTAACAAACATGTTCTGATCATTAAATTCGAGAAAAATATACACTAATATTTTTATTTCATACAAATTTATTATTTCCATTCTAAAATAAGCTTTTAAGTTTTAATGAATTGAAAACTGCATTTTAAATTTGAATATGGATAATGAAATTTTTACATTCCCCGCAAGAATTAAAAAAAAAAATTCTTTCCATTTTAGGAATTCGTTTATCTGTTAAAATGTTAATTATATAACTCGAAATCAAAAGAGCAGGTGAACTGAATACGTTGTAATTAAACATTTTATGTTACACATATTATAATATTCTAGGGAATATTCGTATGCAAAGATTATGGACGACTGTTTAA